CAGCAGCCCCGGGACAGGCCCTGGCCTGGGTCTGAGCGTGCCCCGGGGTGCGGTGTGGGTGGGAGCGCAGCTTCCCTCCGAGAAGGTGTAGCGGGGGGTGCAGGGAGGCACCTCGCTCTAGTTCCAGCTGCCGCCCCAGCAGCGCTTCCCGGGCGACTGGACCGATCTCATCAAATCCCCAGAAAGGCGGCTCTGCAGTGAAAGTTTCCTCCCGCTGCTTTTCTGCCTTGCCCCAGGCTCCGCACGGGGTGGGGTGATGGGGGCACATGCACCCCTGGCTGGCACATGAGAAGCGGCCCCCAGAACCCCGGCCAGGGCTCAGGCCGGGCTCTATCAGCGGGGAGGGCGACCCCGGCCCCCCGGGGTGTCTCAGGGTGCTCTGGCATGGCACACGCAGCCCCTCAGGGGATACGGGTGGATTCGTGGCCCTTTCCCCGCTCTGCCAGCGCTTCGTGCTCGCTCCCCCGCAGGCGGGACGGGCAGCGACGCTCCGTGCCCGGGTGCCCTTGCAGCGCTCTGGGCAAGGGTTGGCACGTGAAGCTGCCCACAAAGCTCTGTCGGTGGCACTGGGGCATGGCAGGGCCCTCACTCCTCCTGACAGGGGTGACGGTGCCCTTGGTCCGCCGTCGATGCTGGTTGCAGCTTCCCCACGCGCTGACTTAGCGGCTGCTGCATCCTCGCCAGAGCGTCCCTGACCCGGCGCTGCAGGTGGCCACTGCCCGAGCCAGCGGCGCTCAGGAGGATCCTGGTGACAGCAACAGCCCTGTCCAGTGACCGGGACCCCCTTGGCTTTCCAGCTTCAGCTGCTGCCCAGTTCGGGCTGCGGGGGCAGGTCTGAGGGATGAGGGTACCCTGGCAGGCAGAGGGTGAGGGGTCCCCAGGGCAGCCGGGGCTCTGGGGCACAGGACAGACTGAGGGGACACGAAGGGGGTGTGTGGGCCCCCCTTGGCCCCCCACACCGCCCCGGTGCCGGGCGCAGAGCCTCAGCAGCTCCTGAGCAGCCTCTCTCCCCCAGAGTCACTACGTGGCCTGCATGGCTGCCATCCTGAGCCAGATGGACAAGGACCACTACAGCTCCTACATCAGGGCCTTCCCCTCCCGGCCTGAGCTGATGGTGAGTGCCGCTAGACCCGCTGTTGCCGGCACCTCCCTTTCTCTCCATCCCACTGGTCCCAGTGTCCTGCCTTCCCCCAGGCACCCAGTCCTGGTCCCCCCCACCTCAGACCCTGGTACAGCCCCGTCCCCGCTCCATGCAGGGGAAGGCCCGCTGTCGGGTGGTGCCAGGGTGGCTCCCAGCGCCAGTGCTCAGCACGGCATCACCCCCGGAGGGCACCGCGGTGGAGCCCATCTCCTGACACCTCCTCCTCCTCCTCGGCAGGACTTCCTCATGGAGACCTTCATCCTCTTCAAGGACCTGATTGGCAAGACGGTGTACCCCTCCGACTGGGTGGTGATGAACATGGTGCAGAACCGGTGAGGGCGGCCGTGCTGGGAGGGACCCACGGGGGACGCTGGGGCCGGAGCGAGAGGCTGGCAGAGGGCACAGGGGCATGGCTGTGCCGACAGCCCCGGCCGAGCTTAATCCCCCCACACCCCCTCCAACAGCCCTGGCGCCGCTCTCAGGCGGGCTCGGGGCAGCTCCAGACGCTTCATGCTCTGTCCTGGGACAGTCCGGGCCCATCTCTGCGGCCTGCTGTGCCTGGGGGGCTCCGGGAGCAGCAGGAACCTGATGCCAGACACCCTGTCCCTCCCACCCCGGGGGTCTATGCACGCCAAGGGTGTGGGACACGCAGGACTCGGGGCCCGGGTGGCGCTGGGCTGCGCCGCGGCAGGCGGGAAGGTGCGGCCGGAGCGTGGGTGCGGGCAGGGGCTCACTGCGAGGCCTGGCCCCTGCCGCTGCTCCCTCCACCGCTGGGAGCCACCGGCCCAGCTCTGCCCTGGGTGCTGCTTGGCTCACTCCCCGCGGCCGCTCGCCCACAGGGAGTTCCTACGCGCCATCAACCAGTTTGCCGCCACCTTGACCGAGATGTTCCTGAGCAACAGCAGCTTTGAGCTGCAGGTGAGCAGATGCTGCCCTGGCCCCGGGGCTGCCCGTGCCCTGGGGGGGCTGGGGAGGGGACCCAGCCTGCCCCCCCAGTCCCCCGTGCCACCCAGCCTGGCATTTGTCCCCATTTTTTCCCCGCAGCTTTGGAACAACTATTTCCACCTGGCCGTGGCTTTCCTCACCCAGGACTCCCTGCAGCTGGAGAACTTCTCCCAGGCCAAGCGAAACAGCATCCTAGCCAAGTGAGTCACCTTTGCCGCCCTCCCCAGCCCGGCCAGGGCCCAGCTCTGCCACTTGGTTTCGTGTCCCTGCCCCAGCCCGCTGCCGCGCCGTGGCTCAGGAATTTTGGGATGAGCCAGTCGGGCTGTGCTCAGGCCCCTGGCCTGGGTGCTGCACCCCGGGCTGCGGAGCGATGCTAACCACACCCACCCCGGCAGGTACGGGGACATGAGGGCTGTGATCGGAGCTTCCATTCGGGACATGTGGTACAACCTCGGTGAGCTGTGGCGTGGCTGGCAGCGAGGAGGCTTGGCGAGTCTCTGCAGGCCGGTGTTCACCAGCCTGGCCCCAAAACGGGTGCTGGGGAGTGGGGGGTTGCCAGTGTGGGGTGTGGGAGCCCACAGGCACAAGCAGGCTGTGTGAGCCTGCAGGCATGTGAATCGGCAGGTGTGTAAATCTGCGGGTGGGCGAGCCCGTGGGATGTGCAGCCCGTGGGATGTGCAGCCTGTGGGATGCTGCAGGATGTGCAATCTGTGGGCTACATGAGCGTGTGCAATGCACACATCTGCAGTGTGCAAGGCAGTGGGTGTGCAAGCCTGCAGGTGCTGTGCCCAGCCACGAGCTCGCACTCCCTGCAGGCAGCCTCCCCTCTCGGGGCTGTCTGCCTGCAGTCCTGCCTTCCCCTTCCCCAGTCCCGCGGGCTCCCACGAGGGTTGTTCACACGTGCCAGGGCCTCCAGGACAGCGGCGCAGCCCCAGCCGACGGTGCCGCGGCCGCGTTTGCCGTGCTCTCCGGGCCGTTCGGCATTACTGGCCCAGCAGCGTGGCTGCCCCAGGGGGTTGCCCGGCTCTGTCACACATCGGCAGTCCCCCAGCACTGCTCCCCTGCCTCTTCCACGTGTCGCTGCCCTTTGCAGCCACGGGGCCCCATGCCAGGGCTGACCTCAGGGAGCAGACTGGAAGAGCCCCCCCCAGCCTTCCCTGCCCTCCCCAGGCCACCGCAAGATCGAGTTCATCCCTGGCATGGTGGGCCCCATCCTGGAGATGACTCTTGTGCCAGAGCTGGAGCTGCGCAAGTCCACCATCCCCATCTTCTTTGACATGATGCTCTGCGAGTACCAGCTGACCAGCAGCTTCAGCCGGGTGAGTGCCTGTGGCTGCGGCAGGAGGCCAGCGCGGCCGCATCCTGCTCCTCACTCGCGCTGGTCCGTCCCCTTCGGGGTGGGTGGAAGCGATGCTCAGCCTCCCCTCCCATCCTGGGGTGTGGGGCTGCAGAGGGAGGGACGAGGGAGAGGGACGAGGGGGCTGGCTGGGACAGGGGGAGTGGGGAGAGCTGTGGGCGATGCAGAGGATTTCCCAGGGACGAGTAGGGACAGGTCAGGCATCACCCACTCCTCCCATCCCAGCACTGCCTGGGAACAAGCAGGGAGCGGGGGGCAGGTCTGCACAAACCTCTGCATTCCCACTCGGCTTCCCCCGTTGCTGTGAGTTTTCCCCACGCAAAAGCCTTTTCCAGTTTTTAATTAGGTGGCATTTGTCTCTTCTGAGCTGGGAGCCTTTCCCGGGGGCTGTCCTTGGAGCCACGGTGACGCAGGTCCCACTGCAGCCCCTTCCCTTGCCCCTGCTCACACCCAGGGCTGTGCTGGAGGAGCGGGGTGGGCACAGCGGGGCTCAAACCTGAGGCCTTCGTGGGGGATGTCCCCAAGCTGTCGTGGCACAGGGGCTCTGTGGCTCAGGAGCCGACCTGGCAGCGCCCCTGGCCCAGGGGGATAAGGACCCCCAAGTTTGGGACGCCGGAGGGACCCAGCGTGGAGGCAAAGTCCAAGGTCCCCCATCCCAGACCGTGCTTGTGCAGGATCCCCAGGATTTTGGGTCCGTCGGCTGCAGCTGGAGCACAAACCCCAAGGACCTGAGGGCTGAGCATTAGCTGGGAGATGGGGGCTTTCGGGGGCATCGGGCACTGCCCAGAGACCCCCGGGGCCAGCTGGGCCCCGGCTGTGTGAGACGGTGACAAAGGCCAGCACAGGAGTGAGATGGGGACTGGGGACCGAGTCAGGGACGCAGAGGGCAGGATGGGGCCCTGTCTGTGCCGGGGCAGTGTGCGACCCATCCGCACCGGGAGCAGCGTGGCCAGGGGGGACAGGGACCCTCTGTGCCGGCAGCCCTGGGGAAAGGGCTGCGGCCGCTGAGCCGGGGGGCGCTGGGGGCTCGAGGTGGCTCCAGGTCCTGCTGCCCCTCCTGTCCCCGTGTCCTGGGGACTGCAGCCATGGCTGCCTGGGGCCCACCTCAGCCCCGCCTCGGCTCCCGGGCCGCGCTCACATGTGCCTCTGCAGTTTGAGGACGAGATCCTGCGCAAGCTGGACAGCGAGGTGGAGGGCGGCCGCGGGGATGAGCAGTACAAGCAGCTTTTTGAGAGCATGTGAGTGTGCAGCCACGTCCCCACAAGCTTCTCTCCAGGGCACGACCCTCTGCTGCCCACCATCCCCCTGCCCCGCCTGAATCCTGGCCACCCCCCTCCTCTGACCCAGAGCCCACCTCTCTGGAGGGAGCGGGGCCTGAGGGAGGAAGGCTGCTGCCCCAGCAGCATCCTCTGCCCCTTGCACACCGCTGCTGCCCTGGCCAGCCTGACCCTGCCTGTCCCCCCCAGTGCCACTGCCCCAGGAATTGCCCCTGCCCTGCCCTTGCTCCTGCCCCGTGGTGCCCACCCAGCACAGATTCGTGTGCGGGTGGCTGCAGCCGTCAGGTGCCTCCCCCATCCCCGTGCCTGGTGAGGGCAGCACAGGGCTTGCTCTGTCTCTCTGCAGACAAGTGTGGCTTTTCATCCCTTGTTGGGGGGGGCCTGCACCCTCCCACCCCCCGCTGCAACTCCCTGCACCCTGGGGGAGCTGAGCCAGGGCAGTGGCGGGAGCGTTGCGGAGCTGAGATGCTGTGAGACTCGTGACCCCCTCTCCTCCCCAGCCTGCTCAGCTGCTGCCGGAGACACCCCGAGCTGGCCAAGGCCGGGGAGAACTTCGTTGAGCTGGTGACAGGGCTCCTGGAGCGGCTCCTCGACTACCGGGCTGTTATGAACGATGAGAACAAAACCTACAGCATGAGCTGCACCGTCAACCTCCTGGTGGGCACCTGCCCCGTTCCCCCTGCTCTCCCGGGGCTCAGCCCCGTTTCCCCCTTGGCCTCCCCACGATGCCAGACCCGGTGTCCCCCCAGGAGTGTTTGTTGGGAGGCGCCGTGCAGCTCCCCGCTGCCGAGGGCAGCCCAGTGTCTGTGCAGGGATGGTCCCAGCAGCACCGTGACCCAGAGCGAGGTGTGGGAGGGTGGGGGGCTGCGGCACGCGGCCCCTCCTGGGGTCACTCAGAACAGCCTTGTCTGCTCTTCCCCAGAATTTCTACAAGGAGATTGACCGCCAGGCCATGTACATCAGGTGAGCGGGACCCGGGGAGCCTGACATCTCCCCGGAGTGAGGGGTCCCAGCACCCTGAGCTGCCCCAGCCCCACCATCCCCGTGGGATGATGTTGGAGCAGGCGGAGGGGCTGGGGGGGGTTTGGGGTGGATGCTGCCCCACAGGGAGCAGGGCCCTGAGCTGCGCCAGCCGTGGTGCCCTTGCTCCCAGGTACCTGTACAAGCTGAAGGACCTGCACGTCAGCTACGAGAACTACACGGAGGGAGCATACACCCTGCTGCTGCACGCCCGGCTCCTCAAGGTGGGGTACAGGGGTGCGGGGGCCGCGCAGCTGGCGCCCACCGGTGCTCGGCGTGACGGGCTCCTGCTGCCCCCGTGCAGTGGTCGGAGGAGGCGAACACAGCCCCCATGCAGGGCCTGCACAGCCCCAGCCTGCACACCCAGCGCCAGCTGAAGGAGGCTCTCTACAACCAGATCATCGACTACTTCGACAAGGGCAAGGTCAGCGCGGCCGCGTGCCCCAGCAGCCCCCTCGCCCCAGCAGCCCCCTCGCCCTGCCCCACTGGTGGGAGCTGCTCTGTCCCAGGGCAGGGCCGGCTCCCCCCCAGCGCTGCT